TATATATATATAGCTCGTTTGTGAATATGTGTGATGTACGAGAATTTAATTTTAAAAGAATGATAGATTTTATATATATCGAAAAGGCATTTGTAAGAAATAAAAAAGATTGAAGTAATTCAACAATATATTAAACTTTAAGAATTTGTAAATGTAATATAGTATGCAAAAAAAAAATAACGCATATTGTCCATGGAATAGTAGTATATTAATAAATAATTTAATAAATATAATATATTAAAAGAAGTTCAATTGAAATATATGATATAAGTATTAAACATTTGTAACAATGTAAGTTTTTTATAATTATTGTACTTTTACCAATAACTATATGTTGTGATGTTTTAAGGTGAAGTGTTGAGAGATTCTGAGAGTTAAGGAATTTCTGATATTTTAGAGGACTTTTTTGAACAAAGGTCTAGTTTGACCTTGAAAGAAGAAGTATATAAGGTTTCTATTAAGAATTGAGTTTCACAAGTTCAATTCTTTCGAATCTTAGTGAGATACTAGATACAAGGCTCTAAAGTGTTGATTATTATTATTATTATCATTATTATTATTATTATTATTCTTTATAGGATCCCTGAAGGCATAAACAATCCTTGTTGATCAATTGAGTGGCAATCTTTGTTGGAGTTGAGGATTTGTGTTGGTGCGAAGTTTTTCGTGGTGAGAGCTCAAAGTTCTTCTTCTTCCTTCTCCCTCTTGAATTGGTGAGGTAAAGGAAGTAGAACTCGATTCTTTGATAGATTGATGGTTTGCATGTGCCTTGAATTCGTTGAATGCATGATTATATGAATGATTTTGAGGTGGGGGATTCTTGTTTTGTTGAACTTTGGTGTTTGGGTTCATGGAAGTGAATTTTTGGTGAATGATCAAAATTATTGTTGCTTGTTGGATTTATGGTGCAAAATGAGTTGTGGATGATGTATGTATGTTGTTTGGTGCCTTACATGCTTGGGATTTTCTGATTTTTAGGTGGCTTGAGCCAAATTTTTGGTCCATAAAGTGTAGAACCCACCATTGCACCAAGTGTGTGTTCATGGCACCAAGCATGGTCTTAATCAAAGGTTCCTTGTCTCGCTCACGCTGGGCACAAGATTAGTGGCATCGAGTGTGAGGATAGAGAACTACCTAGGGTTGAAATGGCACCATGTGTGATTTGAATGACACCAAGCGTGAGGTGAGAGAAGTGGCTTTGCTTAGATTTTCATCGGACATGAGAAGAAAGAATCATCTCTACTTGGCTTGAAGCAAGGCAAGGGACTTTGTCACACCAAGTGTGAGGACTCAAAGATCTCTACCTAATCCACGTCGAGTGTGAGTTATATGACGCCAACATGGGCGAGGCAAAGGGTCCCCTGCCTTAGTGACGCCAAGTGTAAGGTGTGTGGCATCGGGTGTGGGTTACTTTGAAAATTCTTGTTATTTGTATAATTAAATGGTGAGCATGAATAGATTAGGTGAATTTATTGCATGTTGTATGTTGATTGGTGATAATTTTTCTATTTGATCTAGAATAATATATATATATATATATATATATA